TGGTATCTTCTTCTTTCTTCTATATCACTAAAGGAACAGTGTGTGTGTGTGTCTGCACATCTTTTTGTGTGTGTGTGTGTCTGCACAATTGCCGGCATCTGGCAATTGCGGGACAAATTGCCAGATGCCGGCGCCTAATAAAACAGCCGCTACCGTCAAAAGAATTCATGATCTGGCGTTGAAAACCACATCGGCGTATTGGTCGACTCATTCTCTATGCCATACTTTTGTTGATCGCATTTTCACACATGTCACTCGCAAATGAGCTTATGTTAGTGGGTTGCACTGCAGCTTTTTGCGCCGCGACGGAACGGCGCCGCCTGGTGTCTCGGCTGACGCCGAATGTTGCTTCAAGGTTAAACGGCTGTCTAATGTGATTGGCTGCCGTAATTCATCGCCTCCGACCGATTATGCCATCTCGCACCAAAATCTAGATACCGGTGGGGGTTGCAGCGACACAGCAATGACTGTGTACCATGCGAAATGGTGCGTTCGCACGTATCAAGTGGCATGGGCTCAATGGTGGGTTTTGCTCTCTTCCACGGATTTGCGCGTTTTGTGCCACATCTCGGCACCCATGGCACGAATACACGCGGGATTGGCACACTTCGATGATGGAAAGAGCGAGATGGTGTTTCACTCTTCGATACAATGTAATGCTGTATAATACAACGGCAATGCTACCATTGGTCAAGAGGCTGACAGTTGATGGAAGGGGCAAAAATCACCGGCCACACCCCAGGACCATTCGCTCATCCCATGGAATAGGTTTGGCTGTGTTGCAAAGAGCGCGGCGAAATGCGCTCTCTCTCCTGCCGGCGGCCGCCAGTCTGCCAGTACCGCGCACGTCCTGCGGCCGAGTCTAGACACAACAAAACAGCTTGCTGGTGCAGGTATTGCAATAAAACCTACAAACAAAAATGCTACTCCTACTCCTTCTGTATCTCTCTCCCAAGGTTCTGGAAAGGTCTTGCCTCCACTTTGAGACATCTTGAGGGGTTTGTCATGGGGTCCTTCCCCGGGTTGAGCGGCTCATACTTCAGATCGCGTACATAATCTCCCGGAGAAAAGTGAAGGGGGCAAACTCAAATATTTTGCTGGTAATAATTTGATCCCTCTTAGCAACTTTGACCCAGCCTTCTGCTGCTTTTTTGTCACTTGGTGAAGAGTGAACAATAGCATTGAGTGGCCTCACGCTTTTCCCATCTCCTGTCTTGCAATGGGGAACCAGAAAGTATCTTCCCATTTTTTTTCAAGCTTAACGCCTTCAAAATCTGCAAACGCGTAATGTGCGTAAGCTCACCGGCATGATTGTAGACAGCTTTTTTAGGTTCTTATCAATGTTAAAATTTAAAGTTAAGGCATGGTAATGAGGAGTTCAAATGGGACCTGAAGCTGTCACCCTTTCTTTGTGTCGCATATAGGCCCAGGCCTTAGAGCAGGGATCCAAACATCACAACATAACTAGTTCCGAACAACACCCCTGCAACCCGGCACCAGCAAAGGACAGACTGGCAAGGATCAGTTCAAATAAAAAGCTAAAGGAAATATTCCATAGTCAGGTCATGGGAGGCGCCAATGCTCCGACACATAACTGAACATCCCGGTTTTGTTCGTTTCCTATTTGTGCAGCAAATATGTCTTCACAGGCGCTTTCCAGAAAAAGTAAAGGAAGTGCTGGGAGGGTCGTTAAATGAGTTCGTTTCTTTCATAGTTGTTTATGACGCAATTCATGTATTGGCTACATAACATAAGTGAAGCAGCCTCACCAAAACACATCGAAGTGCCTTACCCAAGTTGCGAGCCTTATTGTTGTTTAACGTCTCTCCCGCGCAAGAACTGTAAAATTGCCAGTTTTTAGTCACTAGTAGAACATTGCTGGGTGCCATTCACAAGTGCGTGATATCACGTGCTAACGTTTTGACAGTGATTATGACTCAACAAAATTGTGTTAAAATTTCATCACTTGTACTTTTATTGATTAAAATTGGTATACAGGTGCTCCGAGGCCAGCATTGTTTCAAACCTAGTATATTTTGGTATATATCCTGCCTCGCAACGTGTTGCTATAGGGCCATGCACTCGTTCACGAGCATCGGTAATTTAAATGATTGTTTTAACACGTTCTATTAGCAGAGCACAGACCGTTAGTAATTAGATGGACACACATGCTTCGAGGTCACTTTGAAATTCGAGATATACACAATAGTTGGGCTACTTTTGGGAAATAAATAATTCAAGACAACAGCTACTTGATGGTATCAGGTGCGCTACAATGGTCCGGTCATTGATCAGTAACAAGTTAGGCATATCACAGATGAGATGCTTGTAGAGAGACTTGCAAGATGTCATGTACTCGTAGGTATATGTTGTTGTTGCGTACTATTGGTAACTCCCAAAATTCACACTCAATACCCCTTCTTAACCGCATTGCTATCTCCATTCATGAAAAAAGAACGACTCTGTATGTGAGGGAGCCTCATCGGCCTCATTTAGTATTTCGAGAGACACATGATCAATTTACTTATCAAAAACGGCATTCAACTTCTTCCACTATGAGCTGCAATTTTTGTAAAGAAATAAAAAATGCTGTCAGTGGCGAATGCATGAAGTAAAGCGAGGGAATCAGACATTTTCATGTTCGTTGTTAAAGGTTTATGGTTTAACTTAGCATAAAAACGGAGAGCATAAAATCTGTCTAGCTGTATCTAGCACAAAATCCTAACGGAGAAAGATACAGAAAGAGAGAGCACATTGCTTGGCCCAACTTAAATGGACTTACTGGTTAGCTTAAAGGACCTAATGGTGGTTAAATGGACTTAAAAGGTCAGCTTGCATCTGGCTGATAAGGACCAACCCAGACCGTGGGCGACCGTTCCGCAGGCATGTAAATCCTCCATATCCCTATCTCGCGAAACGGCGGGGGCACAATCGTACGTTGAACTGGCTACACTACTTCGGTGGTGGGCTCAGGATACACGCAACAAGCTATGCTTAGCAAGTGCTCTGAGCCCAAACCATCCCTGCAAAACATTCGGAATATATTTATGGTAAGAAACGGTGCACCATGCAATCAACATTGTGGTCTCAAATGTTGTTGAAAATATTGTATGTTATGATCATGCTCACAGTATTCTTCGTATTACACCCAATATCGTCTTCCTTGACAAATTTTTCGCAAGCATTCAGCAGAGTATGCAAATTGTAAGGTGCCGGCGATAGAAAAATCATGTCGTCGGTGAACGCAATGTGACTTACGCTGCCTAGATAGTGACGACCTACACCGTTGCCATCAAGAGCTATGGACAATGTAGCAGTACAGATATTAAACAAAAACGGCAGTAGTATACGGTCCTGACGAGCACCTTTTGAAACGGTAAGCCCTTCTGTGACATATTTGCACGAATTAATATGAAACAACGATTATACATACCATCAGGTAAGCTCACTAATCAAATGCACTTGCATTCCCCTTCTCAGCAGAAAATCAAAAAGTTTCCAGAGGTTGACCCGTTTCAGTGGATGAGTTAGAAATGATTGCGACCAAACAGCAGATTGCGGCCATGGAGATTTGTATAGATTCTGTTCTGTGTTGCTTACAAAGTTTTAGAACTGACTCGACGTACCGCTAAAATCATACCCTCTACTGGCCATCGTCCCAAATACGGAGTTCTGTGTCCCAAAATGTTGTTCCGAGAAGGATACGCTTAGCAAATTTTAAATGCAACTGTTGAAGATTAAATGCATCAGGATGCTGTGCCAGTTATCAACTCCAACTTCTCCCATTTTCGTTATCCCGAAACCGCATCTGTCATTTATATGCATCACTGTTTGCCGCATGTAGCATACACACGAATTTCTCTGGTTATTTCGATGAAAAATATCCACATAGTGGATAATTACATTTGACGTAATTTCTCACATGTAAAGAAGCGAATAAATGAGCAAAAGTGTGTTCAAAAATTTGTCCTAGATCCACCTCTGGTAAGGAGATACAGACAATTTAGCACAACGTATAAAAGGACAGTTCTAAACTTGTCAACGATTTAAAACGATCCTTTAAAAGCTAGAGGGGGCCGGTAAAGCCCATCCATGTAACGGTTGGCTGAGAAGACTAATTGAGGTAAGGGCAATGTTCGTACTTCATGACAAGCATACACACATACTTATGACGGCCTTGGATTGCACTTATCTCCCTTTGCACAACAACGTTTGAGTTCGTGCAAAACGCAAGGTAGCAGATTGCAACTGCTTGGCGTGGAGAACCTCTTCGGTGAATTTTGGTTACGTAACTGTGGGCTCCCTTTATCAGCGGCCTTAAGACGGTGCACTGAGCGGACTTTGTTCGCCATTACGGGGGTCATGCCAAAGGCCTGAATGTGCCGTAGGCCTGCCTAATGACGACCTGATTACAAAGATTACATGGCGGGCCCAAGTGACATCATTAGCCCCATATGGGCTCAGCAGTCTCATTTTCAGCGACGAGAGTCGGTGTGCGTGGTCGGCGCCTCGCTCTCATCGATGGCGCGGATTTCTTTTTGCAAGCCATCCACGATCCTGACCGCGGGCGTGCTCTGCATTTCATGAATGCGTGCGACCGCAATTCAATCAGAAAGAACGACGCCTTCGATCGTCTACGCAAGCATTTCATTAAAAAGTTGTGAAAGCATGTATCATAGTTAGTAATAAGTAATAGATTTGCAGTGGATCCCTGCCGATAAACTTGGGTGGAACGTGGTAATGCATATAAAGCCATCTCAGACATGGACAGAGGTTATACATTGTCTTGATTCGTGGTACCTGAAGATCGAACATTAACAAGTTTTCGACAACAGGCTGTGCGAACTACATCAACACTGCAGTGGGTGGTGTGGATGATGCCAAGCTATGGAGAGGGCGAACGGCTGCAGCAGTGACTATGCTCACGCTTTGAATATATTAAATGGCAATGCTTCCTTACCTGTCCCGGCACGTAACACTACCCATGCCTTGGTTGCGAGATGACCAGCTCGCCTGGAACACCAGAGGTACGCGGTTCAATCTCTCACGGTGCCCACCCTAGTTTCTCCCGCCAGGGAGAAAGGCAGGCGGCGCCATATAGCCTCAGCAGCGAAGTGCGTCGTGAAGTCCCAGTGCCTGAAATGTTAACAACCGCGAAATTAATTTTGCACAATCATCACTGATCAGACGTAGCGCGTGGGCAAAAAAGGAAGTATTCACATTTGTAATTTGGACGTTGGAAAACGACCAAACAGCTGCTGAGGCTACATAGCGTCGCATGCCTCTCACCCTGACAGGCAGGGCGGGCGCTGTGGCGAGGCAAACTTTGCACCTCTGGTTTCCCAGACGCGCTGCTTACCCGCTGCACTGCCACATGCTGCCACAATGCGTCAGCTGTCAGGGAACACAGGAAGCACCAAGTCGTCAACACGCCCGTTCCGTCGGGGAGTACATGGGGCGCATTATACCTGCTGCGTCAGAGAGTGCAAGGGGAGTGCAGGGATACTGACATCTGCTGCGTCAGGGAGAACATGGGGGCGTCTTACACCTGCTCCGTCAAGGAGAACATGGGGAGCCCCACATTTGCTGCGACAGGGAGTACATGGTGGCCTCACACCTGCTCCGTCAGAAATAACATGGGGAGAGTCACACCTGCTTCGTCAGGGAGCACATGAGGAGCCTTGCACCGGCTCCGTCAGGGAGTGCATGGGGAGCCTTGCACCGGCTCCGTCAGGGAGCGCATGGGCGCCTCACACCTGCTCCATCAGGGAGTTCATGAGGAGCCTTGCACCAGCTCCGCCAGGGAGTGCATGGGCGCCTCACACCGGTTCCGTCAGAGAGTGCACCTGCTTCGTCAGAGAGTGCATGGGGCGCCTAGCACCTGCTGCGTCAGAGAGCGCATTGGGAGTCTCACACCTGCTCCGTCAGAGAGTGCATGGAGAGTCTCACATCGGCTCCGTCAGAGAGAACATGGAGAGTCTCACACCGGCTCCGTCAGAGAGTGTATGGGGCGCCTCGCACCTGCTTTGTCAGGGGGTGTGTGGGGAACCTCACACCTGCTTCGTCAAAAAGTGCATGGGGAGTCTCACACCTGCTCCGTCAGAGAGTGCATGAGGAGTCTCACACCGGCTCCGTCAGAGAGTGCATGGGGAGTCTCACACCGGCTCCGTCAGAGAGTGCATGGGCGCCTCACACCGGTTCCGTCAGAGAGAGCACCTGCTTCGTCAGAGAGCGCATTGGGCGCCTCGCACCTGCTTCGTCAGAGAGTGCATTGGGAGTCTCACACCCGCTCTGCCAGCGAGTGCGGACGACAGTGAGCCGTCGTCACACCTGCTGCGGTCCGGAGAACCAAGACCGTGGCACCTTCGCCCGCTGGTGCAGCGCTCGTCGGTCCAGCGCCCGCTGGTCCGGCGCTCGTCGGTCCAGCGCCCGCTGGTGCAGCGCTCGTCGGTCCAGCGCCCGCTGGTCCGGAGCTCGTCCGTCCAGGGCCCGTTGGTGCAGCGCTCGTCGGCCCAGCGCCCGCTGGTGCAGCGCCCGTCGGCTCAGCGCCCGTAGGTCCGGCGCCCGTCGGTCCAGCGCCCAGTAGGTCCGGCGCCCGTCGGTCCAGCACCCGTAGGTCCGGCGCTCGTCGGTCCAGGGGCCATTGGTGCAGCGCTCGTCGGTCCAGCGCCCGTAGGTCCGGCGCCCGTCGGTCCAGCGCCCGTAGGTCCGGCGCTCGTCGGTCCAGCGCCCGCTGGTCCGGAGCTCGTCCGTCCAGGGCTCGTTGGTGCAGCGCTCGTCGGCCCAGCGCCCGCTGGTGCAGCGTCCGTCGGCCCAGCGTCCGTTGGTGCAGCGCTCGTCGGCCCAGCGTCCGCTGGTGCAGCGCTCGTCGGCGGTCCGGTCGGCCGGGCGGCGTCAGTCTGCGTCGGCCGGCGGTGGCGCCATGAGGCCGGACGGCCGGCTGCTGCTCGGCTGGTTGGCCCTGCTCTCGGGCGGCCTCTGTGGCCACAAAGGCCGGCTCGGCCAGCTGCTAGCCACCCTCTCGGCCGGCGAGGACGTGGCAGTCGTGCACGACCGGCCACCCAGCTACGTGCGCGCCGTGTGGGAGGCCGTGCACGCTCGCGCGCGTTCCGTGCAGCTGGTGCAGCTTGCGGGCGACTGGGCGCAGCGCCCGCGGCCGGTGAATCGCCGCCACATGGTGACCAAGGTGTGCATCTTCTGGTTACGGGACGCCAACTGGCGGCAGTTGAAGCCGCTCGACCCGGAGAGCTTCCTCGACGCCTGGGGGAACCGCTGCGGTCGGCTGGTGGTGGTGGAGAGCAAGAGGAGCATCTCCGACTCGGCCAGCATGCTGCTCGTTAACTACGACCACGCGCAGACCATTTCGTCGGTGATGATCGGCAACGGGCCCGACAACGTGACCGTGTTCGGGCACCGGATCGACTGTGTGCGGCAGGAGCTCAGCCCGCTGCTGCTGTACGACTCGGCCAGAGGCGACACCGTCCGCCGGCTGTTCTGGCCGAACCGGGTCGAGCTGCGCGGCCAGCACCTCCGCGTGACTTCGACGGCCGCGTCCAACACCCCGTACGCCTCGTTCGCTAACCCCGATGACCAGTCGGCAATCGTCGGCGTCGAGGCGGAGATGCTGGAGGCGGTGGCGCGCGGCTACGGCTTCAACTTCTCGATGGTGCATCCGGCCAGCAACGACGGCCTGTTCGGCGCACGCATGCCGAACGGATCCTGGACGGGTGTGATCGGCATGATCGTGCGGGGCGAGGCGGACCTGGCCGTCGGCGACATCTCGGTGACGCTCGAGCGCGAGGCCGCCGTCGACTACACGTACCCGTTTCACATCGAGCCGGTGTCGTTCTTCATGCTGCGGCCGCCGGCGCTGCCGCGCTGGCTCGTTCTGGTGACGCCGTTCAGCAACACCACCTGGCTGGTGCTGCTGTGCTCGCTGCTGGTCGGCACGGCAGTCATGGCGCTGCTGCCGGCGATGGTCCCCGGTCGGTCGCCCAGAGAGCGGCTCGTCGAGGCGTCCACGTTTGTCTGGGGCGCCATCGTGGAGCAAGCGGTGGTGCTCGAGCCGGCAGGCTCGGCGGCGCGGCTCGTGGTCTCCACCTGGTGGTGCTTCAGCCTCACCATGACCATCTGCTACCAGACGCTGCTGACGTCGAAGCTGTCCGTGCCGCAGTACCCGACGCCGATCGACAGCCTGAACGCGCTGGCGCTCTCCGACCTTCGCGTCAAGTCTGCCGACAAGATCGCCGTCAGCCAGTACCTGGAGACGTTCCGTGGAACCTCCTCCGTGCTCGCCCGCATCCCCGAAAAGCTCACTTTCTTTCCGGTCGAGGGCCGCGTGCGACGACTCCGTCTCGAGCCCAACACCGCCTACGTGGAGGAGCTGGCGCTGCTCCGGCAGTCGGTGGCCGAGCGGCCCGACAGCGAGCGCTACTACATCTCGCGCGCGCGCTTCTACCGCACGGGGCTGGCGTGGCCGGTGCGTGCCGGCGCCTGCTTCCGTCCCGCTCTGGACCGGGCCGTGCTGCGCCTCCTCCAGGGCGGCCTGGTAGAGCTCTGGATGCGCGTGGACGTGGGCAGCACCGCCCGCGACCGGGCCGGGGCGCGCGCCCTCACCATGGACGACCTGAGCGTGGCGTTCCTGGCGCTGGCGGCCGGCTGCTTGCTCGCCACCGTCTGCTTTTTGTTGGAGCTCGGTCTGGGCGCGCGCCGCAACCGCCGCCGCCGCCGCCGCCGCCTCGGCTGACACAGGTTAGGGTCTCGCGCATTCCAAGCCGGGAGTTGGAATCTGGGCCGGGTTTCGCTGCCAGCATAACGCTGAAGGTAAAAATGGCCGCAGAAACCTGCCCCTGGGGAGCGGGGTAGCTGACTGAGTTGTAGTAAGTTTATCTGAACAAAAAAGCAGCTCTCAGCAGGGGGCTTTTTGTCGGTTTTTGAAAGGTTTGGAACGGTGTCTACAACATACGTTTGCGTATAAATACATGTGTATGCGAATGTATTTTAAGTTGTTAAGTTAAGTTAAGTTAAATACAATGTGCATTGGTGTAAGCCGCTTGATGAGTCTGAGAAGCTGGACGACGAAATTATCCAGAATAAGACACTCGTAATTCAAGACCTTAGCACTGTGCTGGGCGCCACTCTCTAGCACAAGGACAACATAAGCAGAGGTAAGAATTCATTCAGGCTGAATGATAAATTAGCCGCTGAGACCACAACACTTGTAAACCCAAATATTCGGGCGTCGATCTGTGTCCCGTTGTGAGAGCCCTACCCCTCCCTTCCCACCCCAACGTTGGCTTGGCTCCCAATGTTTTTGGCTGGAATGCTGCAAAAAGCGTGGGTAAAAGGTAACTGTCATGCAAAGACAATCTTCTGTGGACTATCTATCTATCTAGACTATCTAGACTATCTTCTGTAAAGACTATCTTCTTATCTACTTTGCATTGACATTATCATGGAGGATGCAGCGGGGCAGCGTGATGCCCGCAACCTAAATTACTTCCTCAAATGACTGCTAATTTTAAATAGTGGGGGTCAAATGGTTTTAGATTACGTGCTTTTCTGCAAGTCAGATATAACCCCAGACGCTCTTTCCCGCACACTTAGCATGATACTGACGCCACTGATTGAATGTCCTCATGGATACTTTCATATCACGTGTCGTTCTGTCTGTTACCCATGGAAGGCTACTGACCTAGCGTCATTTTTTGCTTGATTTCCAACTTTATTTACTGCATGGTCTCATGAGAAAAAAAAATCGGGTAACAGAATGGCGCAGAATTCAGTAATATGATTTTTTGAGGCATCGCCACTCCAGATTAAACATTAAGCTATGAAACGGGTGTACAATATACATGACGGAAAACAACAAATCGCTACGAAAGATTTTGAATAGGATTCTCTGCTGAAAATAATAGCTTGATTGCATTCCCAACCAATCTCCCAGTACTGCAATACAAGTTTAACAGACCCATTCTGCTTCGGGCGTTTGTCCAAACAGCACGCAAAAATCTTCACTGTGCCGTGTCACACAAATACACGACTCTCGGCGCCCTGTGGTCAGGTTGACATGTCAAGTCAGCGGCCAAATGGTCTTCTTCGGCGAGTCATGTGTGAGCGCTTGTCCTCCGAGACGAGCCTCTGCCACCCGTTCCGCCACATCACGAATGTGGTCAGCATAACTTCAGTCCATCTCAGGTCTACCAAGGTTAGGCTTCGGCGATGTGGATTGGTGTTTATTCGCGGCAATTTAGTTTTTTTACGATCATTTCGCGCGTTGCAGCCAACAGGTTCGTCGAAAGTCAGGGCCCGTTAGCTGTCGCATCACTAACCTTATTTCTCAAGGAGGTCACCTGTAACCTAGAAATCAGCCAGGAACATTGAACTCGGATAAACATATGCCACCATTAATAATAACATTTGTTTTGTTGTTATACATCTTTACACGTACACTCGCCTCACACTTTCTGCGGCAAAAATACAGGAAATTGTTGTTTCATCGGGAATCCTGTAGTCCTCATAATTCAAGGTATTTCACTGCACTCCATTATGATTTTCAGCGAATTAACAGATTTGGGCTTAAATGCAACTTTCAGACTGCAAAGGAGATGTGCTTCGCCGTGCGCAGCAGAAAATGCTCATTTAACAGTGCGTAGTCATTTAATAATGCGTAAATGTTGATCTGTTAATACGTTGTAATGCTGACATAGAGCTATTTCATTGCGACGCACGCAGTAGGTGAGGGGCTCAGTTTGACCACTGAGGTAAAAAGCAAGAGAACCGGAAACACTAAATTGACAAGGTAGAAAGGCCCGTGCATAAGCTAACTTAAGTCAAATCTTGAGATAGAGGAGATCAAAATATCTGGTGACCATTGGACCAAAGATAGTCAAACTCCATTTCGGTATCCGAAGTACTTCCCAGACCTCCTTACACAACCACTTCAGCCCCGAGATACATGCTCTAAGCAAAGTTTTGCTGGTGTTCATTTCGTGTCGTACCGGTCGGACAAAAATCTCTTGATACGGATCATTTTAGGTCAGTGTCCTCCTCTGACCTGCAAAAAGTCTAGATTACATGTTTGTCGACGTCCCTGTAATCAAGAAATTCGAAAGGAGCGTAACAAATTATCGCTTATAGCACGTTTAGTGAAAAGCAGTTTGGTTTTGCTCTCGGTCCAACCTTTATACTAACCAAGTTCAAAGGCATTAGTCATAATCCTAACCTCAGTTGGCTAACTGTCTACGGAACTATCTAAGAGATGAATGGATTCCTTCAAAAGGAGTATGTAAAGGGACGTGGGGCATATTTCAAAGACATAACCTAGCGGGACTACATGATTAGTTACGTCTAATAACGGACACCGGGTACTGCTACTGCATCACCGTCAATACATAATGAAGATTTCAGTCTTGATAATTTTGGAGTCCAAATTGCGCTGCCAACACTTTTTAGCAGCATTACGCTTCTTCAAGGCAGCCGTGACCTTCGTTGTCATAACAACCACCGTGCGCAACTCGGCTGGAGCAAAAAAACAACAACAAAACAACAACAACAAAAAACGCGTGATTTGCCCAGCTGACAGGAACCTGTTACCGAAAAGCGCAATGGCTGTTGTTTGAACCAGTGCGTCGCATGAATTATGTGACACTCTCATTCCTGCAGCCAGAGTGCGCCTCGAAAAGAGCTATGGTGATAAACGTCGTGGGGAGCAAAGCCATAGCTTAAGGTTTGTTAAATTCGCGAAATAATAGCCTTGTGTTCGCGAAACTTTTTGCCTAAATAGTGTTTCAAGCTTTTGCAGCATCTATTACCTAAGCGTTTTGACACATTATGTGTTGTAAACATTACAGCAACACATACCTCGGAAAAGCAGGGCGCTAATTTTTTTTCTTTCATACTGATGAGCAGGGAGTCAAATGGCATCGCTCCCGCAGGGCTGCCTGCTTCAAATGGAAATTCTGAGCTATTTAGAAGGATTTGGAGAAAACTCACGTCACTCTTCGAACCATACGTGTCTGATGTAATAATGGATGAAAAATAAAAAATGTGGGATACTCTCTTTTGCACTGCGTTGTGACATCAGTTTGAGCGATTCCACAGGAACTGTCTTTGCTGGAAGTCTTGGCCTGACTTTGGTCTACCAAAATGTTAGCTACCTGGCCATGTTATCAAACTTTCCTGCCCAAAGACCGATCATTGGATTGTCCATAGCTATGCAAAGTTCGACGCCGCTTAGGGGCACCAAAACTTTGTCTTTAACGTAGTCGGATATTTACCTCCCCAAAGAAACATGTCATTGTCATATATAGCTGTACACTTACAAACGCTAGAACGGCTACGCCGCGCCGGTCATTTCAGAAAACCTTCGGAAGGGGCAGAGACCAAATTGATCTCCGACCCAAACCCGTGTTGATAGCAACCAGGCACGTGGAAGTCCTATTGATAGTACGTGTTCTGTACACCACAATGAAAGTAAACTCATTCTCATCGTTGGTTTTACGGTGCATGTTTTGGCATTTAATGGAAGCGGCGTGCTTTCAGCCTAAGCTCCACACAAGTGTAGTAAATGTCACTCTTGATGCCATGGACAATAAATTGAGTTGGTTTAACACGGTACGGCGTCAAATTGAGACCAAAACGTTTTGGGCACCCCTTGCATGTCATCGAAAATCTTTACCCGAATAATGCAGCACTATTTTGCAGAGAAATGGAGTGGACACTTCGACTTAAGTCAAGGACAACAAAGAAACTGGAGCAGCGTTTGTGATTTAGGGCGATGGCTTGGCCCTCAAACCCGGTAGCTAGTTATTTTTTTTTACTATTATTTGGATAGCTAACTAGATCCGTTAATGTAGCAGAACGTTTGCCTCTCCCTAGATACATTTATAGATCAGATACATAGATCAGATCAGATACATTTATAGATACAGATACATAGATCTCCATACATTTCTCGCGTATAACGAGGCATCTACCAACACAAGAACCCTTCCTCCGCTCGTAACAAAAAGCCGTGGCTGTTCTCGTCACCAAATACCAATCGCAACAACTGAGCGGACAAACCATGCAATAATCTTTACACACCTAGGGCGATAAGACACGCCATGGTTTTTGAGGCTAAAGTGGAAAGCTCTGGAATACGGGGATGACCTAAGCCCTATATGACTAGTCCTATCCCCGTCTCACATAATCAAAATTCGTGCTTCCGCCCACGACCCCCATAGAAGAGCACCTTCAGCAACCTCAAGTGGCCTCTAAAGGAGCACCTTTTCCTGCGGATCAGAAGAGACGTAGCGCGTGCCAGTGCCTGCTCCGTGGATCTACCCCTGTGTGACTATTAGGCCGCTTAAATTAAATACTTTTATAACTCATACAAAATTAAAAAACATGTTTGCCTTTTATCAGAATGAGGTAGACTAAATCTGGTGAGAGGAAAATGCGGGGGAGGGGGGTAGGTTGTCAGGCCTTTGGTTTGCCCCCCCCCCCAGCAGCTTCCAAATAATAGCATCCCTGCCCCTTTAACAACAGCGCTTGAACTCAAATTCATTCTTTGGGATGCTGCGACCTTGAGTACTCAGAGAATCGATCACCATTCTCCGGTGAGAGGCGGGCGAATAGAACCCCAAAGTGGGCCTCCGAACACTGACTGTTGGGTCTCCCCCCCCCCCATCACTTTTGAGCCTAAGTGAGCCTCTGCCTGGCACAAGTCTCTGATGGCCCTTTTGAGCAAGGCTGTAGCCAGAGAGAGGTCCAG